CCACCTCTTCCTCCACCACCTCCACTTGTTCTTCGTGAACGACCACCAGTACCACCACCAGTTATTGCATCTCAAACAGTCATTCGTCGTTTGGCTGGTTTACCAGTTCCACCACGATCAGTCATCATTGAACGTCTTCCACCTCCACCACCACGACCACGTTAATAGTTTTTTTTCTTCTAATATTTCTGTTATCTCAATCATGTATTTATAGGTGACATCATCATCGAACGTTGGGTTCCATATGGACCTCAAGCTAAACGACGTACCCTTCTTCAACGTGCTGCTCCTCCACCACCATATCCAGCTCCACGCAATGTTATCATTCAATATGAACAAGCTCCAGTTCGTGTTGTTCGTCAATTTCAACGCCTTGGTGTTGTTGCAGCTAATCCAGTTGTTTATGTTCAAACATATGGTGCTCATCTTCTTGATGGTGCTTCACTTGTTGCACAAGCTCGTTCTGCTGGTGTTGTTGAAGATATCGTATGTTTATCATAGTATTTTTATTTTTATTCTTATTCTTAAATAACTCTCTTTTTCTATTTGTAGTCAGCCCCTGGCTTTGTTGGTTATAGTGGAGTTGCATTAGGTCAAGAATCACTCGGTGTCTCATCAGGCTTAGTAGGTGGTGCTGGTCTTGTTGCTGGAGGTGCTGGTCTTGTTGCTGGAGGTGCTGAAGTTGTTGATGCTGGTCTTGCTCTTGGTGGTGGACTCAGTTCAGCATCATGGGAATCATCAGGCCTTGTAGCAGGTGGTGCTAGTGGCTGGGAAGGTGGTCTTGTTGCTGGTGGTCTTGGTGCTGGCTATGGTGTTGGTTATGGTGGATTATTGGGACAATCTGCTGTTGTTAGTGGAGCTGATGCTGCTTTCCTTAATGCTGATTCTGATTATAATGGTAGTCTTGATCGCGATGAATTCCGCAATCTCCTTGGTAAGTGTTTGTTCAAATGAACTTTATCATTTTATTGATGTTATAACTAAATTGTATTCATCTATTTCTAGCTCAAAATCTTTAAACACCTACTGATACATCGTCATACGAAACATACATTTCATCTGTTACCTATTAAACAATCAAAATAGCAAATCCAAAATGAAAGATCCAAACATTATAGTAGTTGTAGTATGGAAAAAGTATTTTTCTATTGTATTAAATCTAGCTTTTTTTTTCGTTTTACTTTTGCTAAGCGCTTAGTTTTTATTTGATTGTTGTAGGCAGTTTTTTTCTGTATTGTTTTGTTGTTATGATCTAGTTTTTGGTTAGGATGTTAGTTAATATAGTATAATAGTTGATGAACAAAAAAA